AGCCGCCAGCGGCCCCACGGCCCCGCCGCCCACCACGGCTCTGCCCTTCCCCTTCAGCAGCACTGCCTACACGCCCTGGAGCCAAGAGCCACCCACAGCCGGCACCTGGGAGATGGAGACCGAAACAGAGGTGGTGACCGAGCTGGTGACGGAGACGGAGGCCTGGGAGCTGGGCACGGGGACGGCGCAGCCCTTCACCACGGCCGAGACCTACACCGTGAACTTTGGCGACTAGGAGATGCTCGTCCCCTCACTCCTGCCTCAAGCCAAGGCTGGATGCTCGCGGCCGGTTTGGTTTCACCTGCCACTGGCTCCGGCATCTGCTTCTGAAGTCTTCCTTGAGCCCTGGGCAGCCTGCCCCGGGTGGGCTCCAGCTCCTCACCCGCGCTGCTTCCAAGGACTGCAGGGCACGCCATGCCGATGCTCGCCCCCAAGGCTGGGTGGCTGTGGAGCATCCCCCCTTGCCGGGCTCCAGAGCCAGGCAGGAAAGGACGCGCCGCCCCGTCCCTCGGGACTGGGCAGTGCCAGCCCTCGCCTGGCAAGGGAGGGGGTGACGCAGGACCCAGCCCTCACCCCGTCCCCCGGCACAGCGGGGTTGGCAGGGGTGGTCCTGCTCTCCAGGGCAGGGCCCGCACGGAGGCAGGCGCAGCCCCTCTCCCCTCCACACAGTTTTTTATTACACAAATAAATCAAGTTATATTGGTATTAGCATCTCCTCTGTCCCGCGCCCCAGCAGCTCCATGCCAGCCCTCCCAGGAGGACAGATGGGGATGACACCAAGGCGGTGGGTGCCAGGACCCTCCGAGGGGCCAGGGGTTTATTGAGTCCATGCCTTGCCTGCTCAGTCAGTGCCCCACCTCCATGTCTCCGTCATCGTCCTCGGCCCCGAAGCCGGAGAAGCTGATGGGCTCGCAGCTGAGGTTGCGCAGGTTGACGAGGCAGGCGGTCTGCGTGGTGCTGAAGGCGGGCACCGTCACCAGCAGGACCTGCTGCCCATCCTCCCCTGCAAAGACAGGTGGGCGTCAGGCGGACGAGTCCCCAGTTGGCACCCCGGTGTGGGGTCCCAGACCTGAGCGAGGATCGGAGGGGGTGCTGCGGGACTCACCTTTGAGCAGCTTGGACTGGAAGCGGGGAGCGTTGCCGCAGAAGTAGACGTGAGGGCAGTCGGTGAGGATGAAAGGGTCTGATTTGTAGAAGGGGTAGCAGCCTGGGAGGGATGGAAATTAGGAGGGGAACCTGCACCTGCACCCCTTTGGAGGGCGAACCTCCCCCAGCCTCAGCACCCACCCAGCTCTCGCCTTACCCAGGGTGTCCGGGGCTGTGGGGCTGATGTGTCCCGCCAGCAGTGTCCACTCCAGGATCTCCAGGTAGTCGTCCATGCTGCTGTATTTGAAGATGTCGCTGACGTTCTGCCCTGACGTCCCCAAAAACCTACATTTTGGGGGAAAGGAGAGACTCAGATGACTGTACTTGCCGTGACTTGCCCCGCGATCCCACGCCGCCAGCAGCTGTCACCAAGCTGGTGGCACATTGGGCTTTTTTACCTGATGCCGTCCACGTCAGCCTGGTAGGGGTTGGTGACCAGCCGGAGCGTGGAGTAGGTGCTGGCGAGGGGCAGCATGCAGTGATGCAGCGGCTGCTGGGGCAGCGTGTAGTTGGTGGGGTCAAACTCACCGGGCATCACATCCACGGGCACGGAGGTCTGCGGGCGGAGCGGGGATTAGCAGGGACAGCCAAACCACCCTCCTTCCAAGAAGCTCAGAGCAAAGCCCTGGCTGGAGCTTACTGCCAGCTCTGCCTCGCTCCCTGATTTGGCTCCTGCCACTTCCCCGCAGGAAGCCCCGCTCAGCTTCACCGCAGAGACCAGACGCTGGGCAAGGGATGTGAAGCTGGGCTGTGCGCTGCCTCCCCTTCTTGCTGTGTTCCTGTGCCACACCATATGTGGTGCTCAAAGGGAAGCTGGGGGCTGGGGAAGGGGCGTTTGCCACCACCTTGTGCCCCTGGGCTGCTGGCAGAGCATTGCTTCCGTGGCACGGGAGCCAGGCTCCCTTCCCCAGAAGGTACCCAATTCCCCCGCCAACCCTATCCCACTCCAAGCACTCACGCAAAGCTGCAGCAGGATCTCATCCAGCATCTTCACAGCCTCCACGCTCGCTGCCTGGGTCTTCTTGGTCAAGTACTTGGCCTGGGTCAGTGGGGAGACAGTGAGGGAACAGCCCTGTGCCACCTCTGATCCCTCCTTTCCCACCTCCGTGGGACTCCCCATGCCAGCCCGAGCCCCAGAGAGCGTTGCTGAGGCTGAAGACCCCTTCCCCGCCGTACCTTGTTGATGGTGTCCCGGCTCTGCGTGTTCTGGCTCAGCAGGTTCCCCGCCAGGATGACGCGGGAGATCTGCGCAGCGCAGCTCTGCTGGCCCTCGGCGCCCAGTTGCCCCGTCACCACGTCCACCAGCAGCTGTGTGCTCAGCAGGGACTCACCGCTCCCGCTGCCCAGCCCTAGCCCCGACACCAGGAGGACGAACCTAAGGCGGAGAGACTCGGGCAGCATGCTGTGCTGCCTGCCCACGCCAACCCCTGCCTGCCCGGCCGTGCCAGGGCTTCCCACACCAAGGGAGCCGGGTGGGGGGGACACCAGCTCCCATCCACCATCTCTCTTGGCACCTACGGTGATGGGCACATGGGGGAGATGGGGAGGGACTCTTGATCGGGAGCGGAGAGATGGGACGAGGGGGAATGGCTTCAAACTGGAAGAGGGGAGATTTAGGTGAGATATTGGGAAGAAATTCTTGACTATGCAGGTGGTGAGCCCCTGGCGCGTGTTGCCCTGAGAAGCTGTGGCTGCCCCATCCCCGGAGGTGTTCAAGGCCAGGTTGGACGGGGCTTGGAGCAACCTGGGCTGGTGGGAGGTGGCCCTGCCCAGGGCAGGGGGTGGGAACTGGATGAGCCTTAAGGTCCCTTCCAACCCAAAACAGTCTGTGATTCTACGAAATGGTCCACTGGGGCTCAGGGATATGGTGGGGGACATGGTGCCAGCCCCACTCCTGCCACTGCGGAGACTCACCGGTCCAAGCTGGGACCTTTCCAGGGCAGCGGCTGGGGCAGGTTGGCAAAGCAGTGATCCTCCACCAGGAACTTGCCGTCATTCTGCTCAGAGCCATACACAGCAAAGATGGTCCCTACGGCAGAGAGAGGGCGGTCAGACCCCAGCCAGGACCCATGAGGTGGCTCCCACCAAAGAGCCATCGTCCCCTTACCTGTCACCAGCTTCTGCACCTCGACGGCTCCTTCCAGCTTGATCCGCTGCAGCTCATCCTCCAGGATCAGCTCGTCAGAGGGATGGATGTACTTGGGCAGGGGGGGCTGAGGCACCAGGTTGTGCTGGGGACAGAGGACAGGGCAAGCTGTGACACCCTCAGTGAGGCCGAGTTCCCCCAAAGAGCCCCCCCCCCCCCCCCCCAAAACCCTTTCCG